ATAAGAAGATGTCCCTAAGAAATTCTGGAGTTGCGGCAAGATTTCTTACCTCTCTTAGCGTATTCCCCTGGTCGAGCTATAAATGACTGCCACCTATCCTGGACCTTAAATCATCATCTTGATGACGAAATAATTAGACGATCAACTCCAACTCGAAAGTGAGGTCGCCTCCTTTCTCGACCCGCACTCCGCTGGGTTTTGGAAAAGGAGCATCAAGAAATTTTCTGAGCGTTGAAGACAAGTGGTGGACACTCATGGTAGATATATGACCGGTCAGGAGTTGTAAACAAAAAAGATAAAATTAAAATCAAAAATGGGAAAAAGTGTTGCAGGACTTTCTTTCCAACCCAATATAATTGTCCGAAAAAAATTGGCGGAAACATGGCGTTTTTGAATATTGAATTTTTATTTTGTCTCGAACAGCGATATTCATAGTTCATCAAGCTGATGTGTTAGTATTGTTCAGGATGAGAAAAACCAACTTGTTGATGTGAACGCATGGTTGAAGCTTTCGTGGCACGATTACTCCCTTGAATGGGATCCGAAAGAGTACGAGGGTGTAGCCGACCTGCGATTCAAGTGAGTTTTTGTTCAATGTTCTATGCCTATCCAGTCGTACCTACTCCTCTATTTTCGACAAAAATCCTGACCACCACCTATCAAAAGATTATACCTCCTGTTCGTGGAATGCTAGCCGCATCGCAAACGGGATTGACCAACCTCAAAAAGATTCATCCTTTAGGATTCATCCACCCCTGCTCGCTTTGATGCTACTGAAATAATATATGTGAAAATATGTGCTTCGCAATCAGCACATGCACAGGACCTACGACCCCTGAGTAGAAAGAAAAACAGTCAAGTCGTTCGATATTACACATGTTCGTGATACGCCACGCATTCTACCTCCATTCAGAACCATGGGGCTTGCGGCCAACAGTCATAGGATTTGGCCGATATGTAACGGCTCCAAAGTTCCCGGTGCTCGGTACCACGCGAAGTGGTGCGCGTGAAGCAGTGCCGCCGGTATGTACCTACGGAGGCCCGGTGTAAATTTTAGGCGGCAGCGTATCCCTCCTTCTATGGAGCGACCCAGAGGTGTTCTTGTTGCAACAGCTTTGGGTCTGGTATTGTCATTTGCTACCAAGGTCACGAGTGGAGCGTGAACGGTGATGAAACCACCCATAAGCCCCACGTAAATTTCAGGAAAGCTCAGCTGTGGACGCCTGATGTCCTACTGTATAACAGCGCCGATCCGCAATTCGACAGCTCATTTCAATCGAATGTTGTGGTATATCCAGATGGAACAATCAATTGGATACCTCCGGGTAAGTGCATACCAAAAACAGCCCGCAGCTATAGGGAGCCAAAATATTCCTTCGAAAAATTCAAAATTTCAGGCATATTCCGAATTTCATGTCGAATAGCCGTTGCCTGGTTTCCATTTGATGTACAAGAATGTTTTCTTAAGGTGATCGTTTCTTTCCAAGAATGCTTTATCAGAGAGCGCCTGGTTTCGCTCCCAAAGGGCTGTCTTCCCTTCCAAGTGACAGATTCACCCCTTCAACATACAGGGGGGGGGCAAAAAAAGAGTCACTCTCACTCACATTCAAAACAGAATTAATTACACTTTGCCAGAACCAAACCGAATGAGCTCAATTGCATATTGAAGAGCACATTCTATTACATAGGGGCTTTCTACACCGACGACATCAGAAGATTTTCCCACGGAAACATGGTGCACGGTACGAGCTCAACGAGGTCGTCGAGAAACCATAGACGATTACGACGTCTCTGAAACGCTGGTCAAAAGCCATTTGCTCAGAGCTAGTGTCCCTAAGAAGCCATTCACCAGTTATCCGATTGAAGAAATTATGTAGCAGCTTCAGAATGGAGCGATTATGGTAGGCCTCCTTGAGCTCGACGGTGATGGCAGATGACGTCATATTCTGGAGACGGTGAAGGCAGCGAAGGAGGGCCTGCTTCTGCTTATGGGGACATCTAAGGAATATTTCGCCGTAAACTCCCAATAACAGCGGCATCCTTTGCGACGAAAAGTTTGATGATGTGCGCCATGGGCAAAGTGACTCTTTTTTTGGCCCCCCTGTATATTGCAGCTGTGAGGGAAGCAATAAAAGGTTCAGATGCGCACGGTT